GCGACCACCTGGCTTGACCCAAGGAAGCTGGATATTGGGACAGCTGGCAGAGCAGACTCCTGTGGTGCTTAGGGGTTGAAATAGGAAAGTTCAGGCATCACTGTCTCTGAACTGCCTACTGTGATCTGGCTGGAGCTGTGGAGATGAAGAAGTGTCCTTGAAGCGCTGGCCTGTGCAGGGCATCTATGCTGTCAGTCCTGAGCCTCTAGGCTCCTCCAGCCCCAAACAGGAACCTAAAGCCTGAAGATAAGAGTGTTTACCTGCTTAGCATTCTCCATGAAAACAGCCATGTTTTATATTTATGTACACTCTAATGGACCCTGAAAAGAAATTAGATTGATTCATTTGAAGAATAAAAGTCTCTCTCCCTGCCCCCTACATGGTGAAGCTCTTAAGTGCTTCCACTTAATGGAAATGGAAATTACCTCTCAAAATATTACTAAAACTAATCATGACAATTTTTATACATTTCCACAATTTACTGTGCTATTTTTTCTCTTGCTTTGATGAGCAAACGCTAGCAGATGCCTGTTTTGTACCCTTATACAATGGACAGTACCCTCCCCTCCACCCCTATCTGCCCTCATCGACCAGCACCCCCCACAAAGGAAATGGCTCTTTTTTCTTTCTCATCTCAAGACAGGAAGAGAGGACAGAATCTATTGAATAGCACTTTTTGGTAGGAGGAAATAGCCAAGATTAAGTATACTCAACATATATTCAGTCATGGATATGCTGAGTACTTGGAACTCTGAACTCAGAAGAAAAAGCAATGCTTTGAAATAACATAATTATATATTTTTTTATATTTTGCATCTGAGTTAACCTCCTGGAATGCCTTAATTCTCACATTTCAATTAATCAACATTACTTCTGTATTGCTTGGGGCACTGTACATTTTCTAGCTTGGTAAGAGGCACATTAAAAGTTTGTCGAACCCAAATAATATTGATTTGGATCAAAATGTGATAAACTTGGCTACCAACGTAAGTTCAGTGTGCATTTTAGGAACAAATAGATGATTTGAAATAAATCATAACTATATGCACATATATTTTGTCCATAGAGATTTATATGTGTATAAATGCTACTTAAAATCAGTTTTTATATATATATATATATATATATATATATATATATGCTGACATGTCTTATGATTACTACGAAGAACAGTGTAAGTAATAGTCAATTGAGTACTTAGTACTGAGAAAACAGTGACATTTCTGAGTGACCTTATCCCACTTTAAGAAAAAGTGTGGCCCCATGTTAGTTCATTTCTGCCTCTGCTTCATATATGGGAGAGCTGTGTTGTGCTGCCAGGCCTTATTTTAACCACAATCATGGTGGCACACAGCTTGACTCTGACTTGGATGCCTAGACCCTGACTCTGGAAGGGTGCACAGAGATACAGCAACAACAGCAAAAGAATGTCTCAGTCTGAATAATTCTTTGAGTTGGCCATGCTCATACAGCACAATGCAACTCAGGGATCAGCACACCTGGTCACAGTTTTCCCAGTCATTCCTGCATCCCACTCTGCATCCTCCACCAAGATCCATTTCCCTATCTTGCCTTCAGGCTGATGTTCACAACATCCCACCTGTTCAACCTTGGTCTCCCTTCACCCTTACCGGAGGTCCCTCTGTCTCATACCAAATCTCCCCAATCACCTCTTCCATTGGCTCCATCTACAAGCTCTCCTCAAACCTTAAACACCCTTGCTCCAATCAGGTTCCAATGATATCAGCATTTCTGTTACCCCTGCCCAGATCATCCTTTCATACCTTTCTCTGTGGGGCCAGCTTCTTGTCCTTCCAGGATGAATTTAGGAACTCCTTCCTCTGCCAAGCTGCTGGCTCCTAACTTGGAAGATGAACCCGCTGCTCCATCTCAGTCTTCACATTGCCTCTCCTATATTCATCTGACCACTTCTCTGCCTCCTGAGATAACTGTGGGAAGGTAGCCTCCCCTCCTTCCTACCCCACCCTGGGTATGTCCTGGGAGAAGCACACAAAAAATGCTGTTCAATTAACAATGACTCTTTGCATTATAGAAACACTTATTCTAATCAATGGTTATTCTGAGCTTACTATGTGCCCAGCAGTTTTATACTCATTTTACTTGCTCAATTCATTAGATCCTTACTACAAATCTATAAGGTAGGTACCACTTACTATCTTCATTTTATATGAGGTACCTGCAAACAAATTGGTTAAATAACTTCTAAACTCAAGCAGCTTAGAAGTTGCGAAAGAAGTATTTGAACCCGAACAGCTTGGAGTCCATGGTTCTCACTGCTACTAAATTCTACCTCTGTATATCCAGTGAGATTTGTCTATGTCCATTTTAGAGACAAAAGGAACAAAAAGCTAAATTAAATAATCTGTTCCAAGAAGACAATTTAACTAATGAGTATGAAAGATATTAGATTTGGATTTAGTTGTTTCCTGGTTCTTTTTCAATATATCATACTTTGTTACCAAAATATTTTTATTTGCTTTCAAAAATACATGTAGGTAATAGAAAATATATTTGGATGATTGCAAATATAATTGCCAACGTCCTTCCAACACTGTGTACAGGTGGTGCTTGACAGGAAGGGGTGGGTCAGTTTCCTCTCCCCTTGAAGACAGACTGGTCTTGACCCTAGTCTTGACCAATGGGATATAGGAAAAGTGTCCTTGTCTCAGTTCCCCACCTGAATCTTCTGTATTTTCTCTCCTGATGAACCGAGCTACCATGTGAGGAGGTTGACTCCCCTACTAGACACAGAAGTTCGGCCATCCCTTACAAAGGGCAACCATCCCACCTGAGGGGTCAGACATCTGAGTGAAGATGCTCCAACCCCATTCTCAGCTAATAGCAGTGGCATGAATGATCCCAGCCAACTGGACATGTCAAAAAGAATAAACCATTGTTTTAAGCACCAAGTTCTGGAGGGCTTTGTAATGTAGCAGTACCTAACTGAAAGGAATATAATTGGAAATTTCACCTTGAAGAAGAAACCACAAATGTTATATATCCTCACCCATGGAACAATCGTATTATAAGTTATTTCTGGCCTTTGTGTTAGCCTTCTGTCCTAAATAGTATGCTAGTACAAACCTCAAGGGCATGCCAACTTCATCACAATTATTCCTCTGTCATTCTAGACCAGAAAAGAAAATAGCTTTGCTCTAAAATTGAATTTCATTTTTATTCTGTCTCTCTACAGCACTATCTCAAATCCTTATTACCAGGTTCCTTCCTGTGTTCATGCAGCCCCTGGAAGCCCAGTAGCCTCCAGTCCTCCTGCCAGCTCCAAGAGAAGGTTTAGCAATGGCTCATGTTGTCCAGAGTTTCAGGGGCAAGGAGGTGAAGTCCTTGTCAGCAGTCTGCAGATGGGTCTTGTCAACTTAAGTGGTGTCACTCTCACCTGGTTTCCAGGTCTCTTCTCTGGGTTTCTGCCTTGACCCTGAGAACACCACCCTGCCTCACATCCCTGATCCTGTGACTGACCACTCACAGATAGGACTGTTGGTCATTTACTTTGTGCCAGTTCCTATCCGGCACATTTATATTTATAATTGCCATAAAATATAATTTTTCATTTATAATTTCTAAGTCAAAACATTATGGAGGATGGACTTTTATCCCCATATTTCAGGTGAAAAAATAAAGCTCAAAGCAACCTACCTGGAGTCACCTAGCAAGTTCATGTATAGTCAGTTCCAAATTCCCTTCTCTGGGTACCATAGACCTTTTTTTAGCAGGAACTGGGAAAGAGGATGCACAGCACTGAGGGTGAGGAATGAGGGGGTCAGTGGATTCCTATATCACCTTGAATGTATACTGGTTAAGGAGACTGAATGAGCACCTTTTGTCAGTTTCTTATGCCTGATTTCTTCCTAGGAAAAAGGGTTAGAGTGGAAGAGAAGGAACATCTTGGAAATATGGTGACATGATGATTACCAGTTAACACTGATTCAGCTCAGTCAGGGGAGAAAGCAGTCAGCAGTACCTTTCTCTTGTGGATCACAGTCTTGAATTAACCTATTAATCATAAACCATTGGCCTTGCCTAATGACCTCTTGCTGGCTTGAGGAGGTGAATCCCATTCCCAACATCTACACGGTGAAGCTAAGATGACCACCTACATCTACACTCCTCGCTTATGGGTATTCAAGTGCACACAGTTTCATTCATCATATAGCATTGCCAGTTCCAAGTGAATCTTATAAAGTGTAGCTTTAACCAGAACCATTAGCTCCACTGGATTTGGTTTCTATATTCTTGGCTAGTCTTGTTTTTAAAAGTTAAATGGATTTTCTGTAGTTTTTATTTTTTAGCTCCTACCCTTCCCTCCCTCCATCCCTAAGCCTTTCTCATTCTTCATAAGACTTTTTGGTGTACGCAGTTCTCCCAAATTCACTAAGCAACCTCCTTATATTTCTACTAGGTAATCTTATACATATATTTCTGATGCAATAGGTTCTATATTTCTAACCCAACTTTATTACAGACTGCCTGCCCAGAACCCTAGACACCCAACTCAATACTTTGGCTTCCTCAAAATTGGACACTGGGATGTCCTTGGCAGTCCTCTCCCCACTCTGGGTGATGGCATTAGTATATACCACAGTGCCTCTAAAGCACCACTAATCTGCCCACTTAATCAGTCTTCTGAACCCAGTAACAGTCTTCTTCTTATTTGCAAGCTAGTTGCCATTTCCCACTCATTTCCCCCCTGACCTGACTTCAACCAACCCTTCACAGACAGTTCATTCCAGGTATCAGTCATGCCTGAGGGAGTGTTGTTTTCAGTCAGGTCTCCCTTGTAATAATGTACACACATGGCCACTTCCAATAGGGGGGTCTCCATTTCTAGATGCACTCATCCAACACTCAACAGTGATTTACTGAGCAACTCACTGTAACTTTCACTCTGCTATGCCCTGGCACAAAGTGACAAATGACAGTTTGCCACTGGGGCAAGTACCTCACTGCATCATTCTGCTCACCTGTCTTCCCGACGATGGAAGCACTCAGTCTGTGAGGGATCCTTGACGACACCTTCAAGGTCACTCGGGTCTGGTAATACCTAAGAAAAGAGCAAAGGATAAGCAAGTGAAGATCTGACTCCTTAGTGTTGATTTCCTCTAAAAATATCTAGACTTACTCTGGAAAGCCATGGGAAACCATAGAAAATTCTAAGTAGCCAAGCACCTTCATCTTCAGCAAAGAGAAAGGCATTTTATCAGCAAAGCTGACCAGTGACGGGAAGGGGCATAGTGGAGGGCATGAGGTTGAATTTACTTGAGATCACGTGACACTGGACAAGGCTGGAAGTGATAGAGAAGAGGAATAGGTGGGTCATGTGACACAGATGCATGAAGAGAGGTGGCTTTTCTTTAGTCAGGAAAGTCCATTCTTACAGGAAAATAGGGGGCATAATGCATGGTGTGAAATTCATATAGAAACTGAGTTGCTAAGACTAGAGGTGTGGCTCAAGTGGTAGAGCAACTGCCCAGCAAGCTCAAAGTCCTAAGTTCAAATCCTACTACCACAAAAAAGTAAAGTGAGTTGCGCTCATGTTGTAACACACATACACACACACTTCTCCAAGACAAGCAGAAACTAGAATTGTCATTTCTAAGGTACTGCAAAATACATTGCCAGTGTTTTTTCTCCTTATTTTTAATCCATCACTCTCATTTCCAAGTTTCAACATTTCAGGACACTATGCAGCTTCCCATGCTCTCACTACTGTTCAGGTCCCCTCCTGCCACCAGTGAGGATGCATCTTTTGCATTTCTGTGCTTTGCAATTAATGACCTTTTTGCTCAGAAGATCTTGAGAAAATATCTGGCGTCATAATTATTCTCCCCTTCCAATGATTTCAAATCCATTGTGAAATGGAATGTGAATAAAACAAAGTGAAATAGAAGGAAATTGTACCCTGACCACATCGGCATCCATGGCTTGTTGAGCACGTAGCTGGGGCGGGGGTACTGAGTGGGGGGGGGTACTGCCCCACTGAATCGACCGCACTGTGAACACTCAGGGAATGTTTCCATGGGCAGTCTCATGTGTCTCATGCCTGTTTTGGTGTGTACATCATGAGCAGAGGACACGCAGAGAAGAGAAAAGAGCACTGGCCCTGGCCTCAAGAATGAGTCTCCCATATAAATTTTCTGAATGTGTTTCTGTACCTGTAAAAGGAAGATTTTTTTAAAAAGTACCTCCCTACCAGTCATGACTTCTGCCTCCAAAAACATGGAACACATGCTCTTGCTTATTCTTCCCAACCAAGCACAAGTAAAAATTCTAGACAATATATGTAAAATAAATAAAAGCAGACTCTTAAAGATGGAGAAGAAAGCCAGTTTAGGAGCCTCACAACACAAGGAAGTCCACAGTGGTGAGATCTCTGCCTCTTCTTTTCACACATCCTAGACTTGATAGTAAAGAACCCACCAAGGCAGAAATGCTAATGCCCACAGACAAGAAAATAAAAGCCCAATCACAAAGTCTGCTTCCTGTACTCAAAGGATCCGAAGGAGGACAGCCTGAAAACACAGAAAAAGTTTAGACAATGGCTGTCTGATCCAGCCCAGCAACACAGAAAAACAGTGGTCCCACCATCACCTACACCAGCTGAGGTCAGATGCAAAGTTCAGAGGGCACCACGGCCAGGCTGCTATGAGTACCGCCCTCCCCACAGCCTACCCAAAGTAGGTCTCCAGCAAGCAGCTAGGTTTTCCTCCATAGTGACTGCACTACACTCCACCTACCCCAGCTTATGTGGAGACCACATAGGGAGCTTGGACCCGCACTCAGCAGGAACCAGGGTGTAAACATGCCCCCACAGATGATTTTTAACAAGTGTGCAAAAAAATGATACAATGAAAGAAAGATGACCTTTCAAAAAATTTTCTTGAGTCAACTAGGCACCTATAAGCAAAAGAATAATTACAAACAAACCTCAAATTTAATGCCCCACAGTATGCGAAATCTGACTCAAAACACATCACTGACTTAAAGGGAAAAGAGAAAAACCATAATACTTTCAGAAAAAAAAGAGAAAAGCTTCTAAATACGTTCTAAATGCAGAGCTAAGCATGTTCCCAGACTGCACACCAAGAGCATGACCTACATAAGGAAATATTGACTGATTTGATTTCATTCAAATTAAACACTTTTGTTCTATGAAAATGCTCCAAGAGGACTAAACCATAAGAACTAAAAACATTTGTAAATCCCATGCAGCTAATACTCAGTACTTGTGTACTGCAAAACTGTGCACTCACCCACGTGCTAAATCCAAATGCAATGTTGGCAGTCGTAGTTGTGAGCTCGGTGACACAAAGGGAATCTGAATGCAGGTCCTCAGCCACAGTCCAACAACCCTGAAAACAATCATGCTTTCTCATGTCGATTTCGTGATGACACCTATTTGCTGACAGTTCTCTGTTGTATTTTCACACTTTTTGTTGATTATTCTGCTATCTAACATACCCCCTCCCACTCTTAGGAGTGCTGAAGTGTCACCAGTGTTCCAATGAGGATGGGGAAGGAACAGGGAAATGCACACCAAAGTACACAAACTTTCGATTGCACCAGACAAGTCTAAAGATCTAATGCACAGCAGGAAGGCTATAGTTAATAACATTGTATATTGAAAATTTTCTGAGAGTAGATTCTATGTGTGCATAAGTATAAGAAAGTGGTAACTAAGGAAGGTAATGGGTATGCTACTTTGCTAACCTGCTAGGTCAAAGTACCATGTTGTATACCTTAAATACAGGCAATAAACTCTTTAAAGTTTCTTAACCTCATTGGACAAAATACAAATTCAAACTCCAGGCTGAGGTCATGGCTCAAGTGGCTGCCTAGCAAGTTCAAACCCCAGTGCCACCAAAAAAACAAATTCTGCTACACCCCTATCAGAATGGATAAAAGAAAGCCAGGTGTCATGGTACATGTGTGTAATCCAAGCACTAGGAAGGTGGAGGCAGGAAGATTGTGAGTTGAGGCCAGCCTGGGCTACATAAGGTGACCTTGTCTCAACATTCCTCCCTCCCCCAAAAAAACTGGGTAACATGAAAAATAGTGACAATAACCACTGTCAATTGTGCAGATAAAGTGCAGCACTTATAGTGGTGAAAATGTAAGTTGATTCAGCTACTCTGGAACATATTTGGTAGTTTTGACTGTCATACAACCTGATTGCACTTTAGGCATTTATATTAGAAAAATGAAAACTTGTTTATTCAAAAAGTTGTACAAATGTTTATCCATAATAACACAAAACTGAAACAGATATCCTTCATTAAGTGAAGTGAATTAATAAGTGAATAGTTAAACAAACCATGGAACACCAATTGCAATAAAGAAGGAGCAAGTGGTGCATTCTACAACCTGGATGAATCTCCAGGCCATTATGTTGGGCCAATGAAGCACATTCCAAAAGGTGGATAATTAATATGATAACCTCGAAGTGACAAAATTGTAAAAATAGAGTATCCGTAAGTGGTTGCTAAGGTTGGGGAGAAGATGGGAGTGGGTGTGGCTACAGCAGAGCAAAATGAAGGGTGCTGGAAATGAAGAAAATATTCTGTACCTTGACTGCCCATGTCAGAATCCTGGTAGTGATACTGAACTTAAGCTGGGTAAGACACTACCGTCAAAGAGGGTGGGTGTAGAGTTACATGGGATGTCTTGGTATTAATTCTTAAAACTGTGTGTGAATCAATAATTACTGCAAAATAAAAAAATTAATTGCCAAAATTAAAAAAACATTTGTTCAACAAAAATATGGTCTTAGAAATTACAAGAATCTACACCAGCTAGAGGAAATTCAAATACTTACAAGGGACAAGCAATTAATACAAGCACAATTTTAAGAAAACCCTGGGTTCCACTTAATTTACCTTTTCTTTTTCTACTTTTGATAGAAATATGGGCACAGAAATATTATACTATTTCTCTATATAATTGTCTACTCCCGTTGAAACTTAATCTTTACTGTGAACTATTAAGAGGCAAGGCTAGTGGAAATATTTAAGAGGTGATAGATAAGGACATGACAACTCTGTCTTCATGAGTAGATTAATCCATCATGGATTAATGGGTTGGTTATCTTGAGAGTGGCTCTGTTATTGAAGTTGATTTGGCTCTGCCTCTTTTATGTATCTCTCACCATGCATACCCTGCATCAGCAAGAAAATCCTCACCAGATATGGGCTCTTAACATTGAGCTTCCCAGCCTCCAAAACTGTATAAATTTCCCAGCCTTTAGTATTGTGTTATATCAATGGAATACAGACCAAGACAATTGCCATTAGGTACTTGTAGTGCTGGCAGAGTATCAACGTCCAACATCCAGAGAGGGTGACTGGGTGGAAGGCACCTGACTCCATCACCATGGGAGCAGCTATTTCCACCATTTAGAAACAGTGGCCATGCTTTGCTAGATCTTTCCATTTTCAGATAAAGACAAAATTTGATTTTTTAAATAAAACTTCTTTAAAATGTTAAATATTTATTTCTTAAATCAATGACAACAGCAGCAGCAACAATAGCAAAAACAAGTAGTAACAGCAACCATGGTCACATTAGCAATGAAACACTGTGTCAACAAGGGAAAGCACAGCTGCAGGCCCAGTCCCAGTGGGCCATTGATCTGAAAACTCTTATTGACACAAACATAGGATGTTACTTTTACCTATGTATTTCAGTAATTCCATCACTAAGAGAACTGGTATAAATCCTATCAACGCCGCTGTCAGTTTTCATATTCTAACGGCAACTTCTCCAAACACACGACAGGTCAATCATTACTGGGAGCTATGCATCACTTTCCTTTCACACTGTGCTTGATGCTGGGACACCTATGTTCAAGATTTATTAAGCATCTCTATGCCAGCACCAGCACCAGGAACTTGTGCGTATGCAATCTTGTTTGATCTTCCATAAATCGTCTGTGAAAAATAGCACCATCTTAAGTGTTAACCATGGAAGAAATTGAGCCATTGGATTTATCTAACCCCTTGTCAAAGCCACAGACTAGGGAAATGGAAAACAGCACTCTAATTTCAG